TGCAGCGCCATTATGACTTTAGAACCAAAACGCCGTAAGCAAAGACAAAATGCTCAAAATCCTAGCCGCATAAATTATGTACGCCAATTCATGCTGTTGGACAAAAGAGTTTGCAAAAGTTTCTTTTTAAAGGTCATACAAATATCTAACAAAAGATTAGATTATGCATTACGTAATAAAAAATCTGTTTCTGGAATAGCGGAAAGAGATAAGAGGGGACAACATGTACCTGCTAACAAGCTGTCAGATGAAAAGTTGAACTGGATTAAAGACCACATTAATAGATTTCCGAAATTTGTGAGTCACTATGGAGAAAGACGATCAACACGAAAATATTTGCGCCCGGATCTTTCAATGAACAAAATGTATGAACTTTTTAAAGCAAAATGTGAGTCAGAAGGAAAACCAATATTGAAAAAGAGCGCCTACGGCAAAGTATTTACAACCGAGTTTAATATACACTTCTATATCCCTAAGGCAGATACTTGTAAAACCTGTGATATACTCGAGATAGCAGTAAAGGCGGAAGAAGATATAGAAACATGCCTAGCTATAAGGGTACAAAAAGATCAGCATATTAAACTTGCAGGCGAAGTAAGAAACATATTAAATGACTGTAAAAGTAAAGTCAAAACTGAGGAATCGTTATTAGTAGCTACTTTTGATCTGGAACGAACCCTGCCTCTTCCTTATTTGAATACTGGTGAGGTCTATTATTTAAGACAACTGCAAATGCTGAACTTTGGTATTCATGCTTATACTAAGGAAGGAGAAAAAGTTCTCATGAATATGTGGCCAGAACATTGTGGGGCCAGAGGCTCACAAGAAATTATGTCGTCACTTCACTACTTTTTAGAAGATTCCGTGCCGGACACTGTCAAATCACTGTGTTTGTTTAGCGACTGTTGCTCCGGGCAAAACAGAAACTGGAACGTTTTACACTTTATGATGTTTCTGGTTAATAAATCGCCATATCTAGAATCGATCACCATGCATTATCTCGTCAGTGGCCATACTTACCTGCCTAACGATACCGACTTCTCTTTTATAAGTCGAAAACTAAAAAAGAAGACTGATATCTATACACCAGAAGATTGGATGAAGCTCGTCCGAGACTGCAGAAAACAAAAACCTTTTACTGTGCGAGATATGAAAAATAAGTTTCTAGATTATGAAAGCCTCACAACACTATTCAAAGATTATCAGATTGTATTAAGAGAAGGCGCAAAAATTTCTAAGATGCGGAAGATAAAGTTTTGTAAAGGTTCAAGTATAATCAGTTACAATGATGACTACACTGAAACATATGAAACAGTTGATTTAAAACCGAATGATATGGATTCTGGAACTTTTTTTTGTAACCTAAAGAATTATATACCAGAAAAAGCCCCTGAAACTAGACTAATATCGTATCAAAAAATGCAAGATATTAGAAAAACTCTAAAATTCGTACCTCCTATCCATCATCAGTTTTACTTGACATTGCCACATGTTCCTAGAAGAGGTGGCAATCAGGAAGCACAAGATGATGTAAATTTTTTGCCTGCTGTATTTGGTGATGATTAATGTGATTTTTCTTACGACATCAAAGTGAAAACTTACACTATTAATTCATTTTTTTAAATTTGTGATCTGCCATAGTGATAAAAGTGATTTTTTTTTGTAAAACTACGATTATTAGTTTTAATAAATAACTCATACTGATAAAAATTGATATTTTTTTATTTAAAACTTATTAGAAGTACATATAACAAAAAAATAATAATAAAAAGCCTATAGATTTCCATTAATAACGCGTAACGCATTTCCTTCATTTTCTCAGAAACATACTATTGTGCCCTAGATCACTCTGGTTTCAGCGTCGTCATATATATATGTATATATCAGTTACAAGCGAGTTACCAAGCAAGTCAATTCAAATAACCCAACATATAACTTAGATGGGTATAATCTAAAAGGGTTTATAAATATGCCAATAATACTAACATCATTTATATATGAGAAAATACACCTTAAGAATGCTGTTGTAAATGCTGGTACAAAAGTGTATTAGGTCGATGCCAGTATGTTAAACTATCCAGTTAAAAATACAATAGGGGAATTCCAAATTTCCTTAGATAAGGATACATACTCTGCATATATAAACGACCTCCCATGTCAAATGGTATCATGCAAAGGAAACTGCACATAGATGAGCCTGCTATTAACCCTAGGTCGGTCGCGCTAGTTTTTGTAACTTTGTCGGTCGCATGGGGTCTTTGAAAGCCCAGTTTTTTTTTTTGTATTTTTTTTTAATAATTGCTTTGTATATTCTCATTTGTTATTTATATATTAACAAGGTATTATGGTCTATATTAAAATAAAAGCATAATAATCCTTTTAATATTTATTACCTTACAACAGTCTTAACCACGTAAGGCCCAATGACCTAATTTAATGGCAAAAATATTTTGGCATTCCGGCCCTACACAGCTTTTAAAATCTCAAATTGCGGCCCGGCGACCTAAAATTATGACATGATATTTGAACGTAATTTTTGGTTTAAATAATCCCGCCATTTTAAATGTGCCATCAAAAAACAAATAACTATGAACGCATCTCTAATTTTGGCAATGTCAACTTGACATTTAAGAACCAAGAATCTGTCTTTTTGACATTTCATCTCATGTGAACGGAAGTCTCGTGGAGATTGGTAAGTAAATCTATTCATATATTTATAATCATAACATAGTGATGTCTAAAATGTATTGCAAACAGTTGCCATATATCCATATTATATTTTGCTCCGACATGTTTTTTCGTAGCAAAGTCATTTTAATTCCGTAATATTCGAACGATAAAAACTATGTCCCAAAATAAGGTCGGTGGGTTTTTATTGTAAAAGTTAGCCTAATTTCTATGTCATGATTTTAGGACATTGGGTGTTTACTTTATTTTCTTTTGTTTAAGCCATGGACGACGAAGCTATAGAAAATCAGCTTATTCTGGACGTATCCGAGTTCGAAGATGATGACGGCGATGATGATATCGATGATGTGGATTATCGACCTCAGGGCCGAAATCGCCAATCAGACAATTCAGCAGAATCGTCTTCTGATTCTGAAGGTGAGCTTACAGTTTCAAGTCCTGCGATTTCTAATTCTTCTGTTACGCGAGGGAGGAGCTTACAGCGTCGATGTGGCCGTCGTGGCCGAAGAATTTCTTCGATTTCTCGAGCAAGTAGTAGAAGAGCAAGTTCATCTCGTGGGAGATCGTACCAGCAAGTGGAGGCTGAAGATAACGAGGATATTGGCAATGACGATGGACAATTTGGAGGTTGGAAAGAAAAAGATTTTAATCCTGATATAATTCCTTTTATGCAGCCATCGCATTTACCTCTTAATGACGAAGAATTCTGTAAAATTGATTATTTTCGGCGATACGTAAATGATGAGCTGATGCAAATTATCGTAGATAGATCCAATGAGATGTATCTATCAAGAAACGGCTAGTTTTTAAATTTGACATTTCCCGAGTTCTACATTTTTATTGCAATTAATTTAGCCATGTCTTCTATTGTATATCCAATTCTCCGAATGTACTGGCAACACAAATTTCGTGTCGCTTTTGTAGCTGATCATATGTCTCGGAACAGATTTTTCATTCTTCGGAATTCTTTAAAACTCGTTAATGACAAGGACTTTTCTGCCGAAGATAAGTAAACACAAGCTCTGGAAAGTTCGCCCTCTTATTAAAGAAATTCTTAAGGGTTGTCATTCCATACCAAAGGATCAAAAACTGTCAATTGACGAAATGATAATTAGGTAAACCTAATCCTACAGGTTTAAGAACTTTTGTCTTGGCGAATCCCACCGGAGAAGTGTGTGATTTTGATATATATCAAGGGGCGACTACGTATCCTTCTTATGCTGATACATCATTCGGGTTGGGGCAAGTGGCAGGGAGAAGGCAGTTCTTGCCTTAACGGAGGATTTGTTGCCGGGACATATAATTTACTGTGATAGGTACTTTACCACCGAGACACTGATTGTGGAATTAAAAAACAGAGGCCTGATGTGCGCTGGTACATTGATGAAGAATAGAGTACCTAAGTCCGCAAGATTAATACCCAAAGAGGACAAAGACTTAAAGAAAGCAGGGAGAGGGAGTTGTCAGGTATTGGTCAACGATGAGAAGAATATAGCTATAACTAAATGGTTTGATAACAAACCTGTCACTTTCCTGTCTACTGTGCATGCTGCCCAAACTTCCGACACCTGCCAAAGATGGTGTAAACAGAATAAAGTGTATGTTACTGTACCAAGACCGGAAGTAGTAAAACAATATAATTCTAATATGGGAGGAGTCGATCTTGCTGATCGTCTCATTTGGCTACAACTAATTCATGGTGGTTAAATTATAAAGCAAGAGTTACGCAAAAATGTCCCGGTGAAAAAAATTCAGCAACTGAGGAGTTTTAAAATGGAAATAGCCGAAACTTTAGTAACTGCTAATTTCACCACTAGTTCCGAAGCAGAAGACGAAGAACAGTCTCGACCTAAACGCTCTAGACCAGCTGTACCGCTTCCCAGCGGCAGTTCAAGAACTCATGGTGCACTCCATTTGCCGTCGGCTGGAGAAGTTCAAAACAGGTGCAGAAGACCAGGATGCAATAAGAAAAGCACAATTATATGCAATAAGTGCAACATTCACTTGTGCCTAACTAAAGAACGAAATTGTTTTTATAACTTCCACACTGAGATTTATTGATTGATGCATTTGTTTAAAATTTTCTTTTTTAAGTATCTATATTTCTAATTAGTATTGTGTGTGATACGACAACTTGAATATTATTATTTGAAATATTGCCATTGATTATAGTAAGTAAGAACATTATTTTAGTAATATGATTAACATGTGTAATGCGAAGATACATTGTTTGCTAAAAATGAGACTGATTTAGAAAATTTTGTAATTTAAAAGGTTTAAAATGAAGGAAGAAAATAATAAATATTTTTTTTACAAAGTTTATTTTTATTTCTGGTATAATTTGCTATTCCATGATAAATAAATGAATAGATTTGATTGATTCAAACTAATGTTATATATTAAACAGTGGCCCAATGACCTAAACTAAGGACAAGCTATTTCAACATATTTTGTGCGTGAAATAGGTAACTTTAGGTATAGGAAATACCCCTTAAAATAAATTGACCAAAAGTAATACATTTACACACTTTTGTACTTAACCAAAGTTCTGGGCCGCAACTACTTGCACCTATTTTTAAGTACGTTGGTCGTAATGTATATCGACCTAAATTTAGGTTGGGCCTTACGAGGTTAGTCATACTAAAAAAAAATTCTTTTATGGGACATTTTAGGCAACTTTAGTTTAAACTGATACAAAATAAATAATTATTATCTTTTCTTTTTGAAATCAACACAAGCTATCAAAACAAAGATTTATTTTAATGAGATCACAAAAAATATAAAACTATAATAATATATTAGTGAATTTTTACACCTCATTTCGCTCTTCCGATCAGCTTGAGCAAATTGAGGCTGCGTGTCTCGGACATATGTTCGGGCGACATGAATAGCATACTGTAGAATACTTCCTATCAATATGTCGCGGACAATATGCACACCTCTTTCTGGTCATTTGAGGCTGATTTTCAAATCGATTTTGCAGGATATCCGGACCAACTAAACGTTTTATGTGCTGCCGGAGCGTTCTCGGGAGGGTGTTTATTGTGCTTCTGTATTTAAAGTCAAAAAGTTGAAATGCCAATGTTTTGAGGTATTGTTTTCTGGACATGGTCCTATTTGGCTGATTACATGCTAATATTATCTGTGTATTGATTCCAACAATATCCATTAGCCTGAAAAAAATTCTCAGAGGCCATCTGCAGCACAATCTTGCAACTGAATAGTTTTTCTTTAGTCTGTCCACAACATCTACACCTCCCTTTGGGATGTTGTAAAATTCAATGATTTCAGGCTTTTTCCGAACTGAGTTAGAGTTTACGCCACTGTCATGGTGCATCGTTGACAACAAAAGAACGATTTTATTCTTTTTTGGACAGTAAGACACTAGAGTGTTTTCATCTTTACCAAATGCAAAAAGCGACGAACACACTTCCCTATTTTAGGTCTTTAACTGATCAGGCATTTCAGGTTTATTTTTTCTAATGGTTCCGGCTATAGTCAGCTTGTGATCTTTAAGTAATTCTCTGGCCAAAGAGACACTAGTGAACCAGTTGTCTATTGTGACGTTACGGTTCGTTCCTGTAATTGATTCTATCAATCTCTTCACCAGAGCATTTGTTGAGGTGTTTACAAACATTGGTCTTTCAGGTTGCTTTCCAACATAAACCTCCATGTTGGATGTGTAAAAATTCCGGGCATCTACCATAGCAAATATTTTTATGCCATATTTGTCCGGCTTATTAGGCAAATACTGCCTAAATGAACATCTTCCTCGAAAAGATTCCAGCATTTCGTCAATTATGACATATTCACCAGTGCTGAAACATTCTTTGCATTTCTGAACAAATGTTTCAAAGACAAACCTGATTGGTGCCAACTTATCAATTTGTAGTCTTTCTTGCAGTGTTACAATGCTGTCAAACCTCAAACAGCGCAAGAGAAATCTAAATCTCTGTAACAACATTACCGCCCTTACAATGTCAATACCGGTCCCATCCGCTGAGAAAGCCTACCAATCAGGTTTAATAACCCCAGTAATACTCTTATCTCTGGTATATTTGACGGCATCTCGTAACCTTTCATATTTGTCCTGAAGAGTCTGAATTTTTTCATTCGTAGATTAAACAATATTATTCAGTACATCTATTGGAAAAAATAACTCCATATTTCATGATCCCGGCAAATGCGATATATGTTATGCTGTCGGATTCTGAGGGATTGGAAGCAATTTTCTTCCAGCGCTATATCGTTTTAGTATTTCCATTGCGTAGTTTTCGACGAACAACGTAATGGTTCGATGATCTTAGTTGGGCGAGCGGAACATTATCTTCATCATCATCTGAATACAGATCTTCCGGCAGTTCAGGATCCGCTATACCGTCTTCCTCAGTCGGTTTCATGAGAATTTTCTTCAATGACATCAGGTCCATAATCAGAATGCTCACCATCTGATTTTTCATCGATCGGCACATCCACATTATCTTCGGATTCTTCTTCTAGCCATTGAACTATCTGCTGTTCTTTAAGATGTTCCATTTTCGGCTATATATAACATAATATATAAGTGTCTGCTATCAAATAAGAAAAAACTTACACGATCGGTCGCGTGGGGTCTTTCGAAGTCCGCGCGCAAAACAAACGTCTATCATGAACAAGCGCAGCGCGCTGAGTGGTAACTGCACTATTTTTTACTCAAGTATTTTTTAGGAAGCTACTATAAAACACAAGTTTATACATTAACTATTTTAAAAAATATGGCAGTTTTTCCAAACCCCATACTTTCTTTCAAGACCCCATGCGACCAAACTAGGTTTAATGCATATAGGTTGCCATCCAATGAATATAACACAATACCATTAAACCAAATGTTCCGAAACGGCAATGACATACTCAAGAGGAAGATACCAATCTATGCATCTGCAAACCTCATCCAATGAATTTATCTCAATTCTCAACTGATCATTGGATCAGTTGAGATAGATTCACTTCATCTAGTACCCAGCTATTGTAAAATATCAGTTGAAAGCACCATAGCTTGTATTGCATGCAATGATAAGCCACAAGCAATACTTAAAGCATATGATATTAGAACAGAAGGGCTATTAGAATATGAATCAAACTGCAGCTGGACACAAAAGGCACTAAGTTGTAATCCAGAGCCATATTTCATAATACATATAGTTAGGACAAACCAAACAATCATGATAGATTTCCAGTTCGTATTTAAGGGATCATTATCACTGTTAAAAACATATTATGGATGGATGTTTTAGATCAGACCATTGAATATTGTCGCACATTCCTAAAATCCAAGAAATGGAAGGTATTAATACATTTACTGGATTTGTCAGTTGCCAACGTTTGGCGTCAATATAAAATTGATTCCGAGCTGGCAGATCCCAGTAACAAAAATATAAAAGATCTTCTTTGCTTCAGGTCAGCTATTAGAGTTTAAATTTCGTTGAATACCCCTGACAGAAATAGACCTGAAGAAGCCGATGATGAAAATCCTGACGAAGGACATGCTGGTGGTCGCTACAAGCCTCTTCCTCCTCCCTCGATTCACAAGAGATATGACGGGTATGATCATCTACCGATATTTGACACAATAAAAGTTCCAAGAAGCTGCCAGATGAAAGATTGTAAAGCACGATCGAAGGAGCTCTGTTCAAAATGCAACATTTACTTGTGCCTTTCTCGAGCTAATAATCGTTTTTATGACTACCATAAAAATAAGTCTTTTATTATTAATATAATAACTCAATGCTTTTGCATGCGGCTCACCTGATGGTAAGTGACTACCGCCGCCCATGAACAACTTTAATACCAGGGGAACCAGGGGAATTGCAGATGCATTGCCGGCCTTTTAAAAAGTAGTAGGCTCTTTTCTTGAAGGTCCCTAAGTCGTATTGGTCCGGAAAAATCGCTGATGGTAATCGATTCCACAGGGAAGTTGTGCGAGGAAGAAAAAGTAGTAAGTTCCTACTTTAAGAATAATTCGTGACTGAATGAAGACGGATTACAAATGTTAAATGTTTGTACGTTTAAAAGTATTTTTTGATTAAATTTCTTACTGACGTTAAGAAGTTATGTTAAGTAAGAGAAGAGATGTTTGTTACACAAAGAAAAATACAGTTCCTTATATTGAAATACCTTTTAATTTTCGCTTACTACTGTACCCTCAATCAAAATACTATTTACAGGGTCGTGACGGATTGATACGATCGTGTGGGTACTATAATGGGGGAGAACCTCCCCAGATTCTTTTTTACTATTTTTTCCTATTTACTAAGACCCTAGTCTCAGGAAATCAACCAGATTATTTAGAAATCAATAATTTTTTCTCGTGCTGAAAGGGCTATGGCACAAAATTTTATTATAAATTCTATAGTACAATTGTTTATATCTTGCCTCTCGATGCATTTTAAACTATTCTTAATAATTGCACAGACATCCCTCTCCATGCGTTTTACGACAAAAGGTGGAGGCCATTCTGTATCCAGGCAATAAAATTATATCACAATAGTTCTTATTTTTCAATATTTCTCACACTAATAATATATCTATGTTTAAATCTAATAGGAAATGTTCGACTAGGTGAAGCTTATTGCCTATATTTTGTACGAGGGGTGATCTAAAAATAATGTTAATCGGTACTTCAGGTCCGCATAAAAATCCAAAAAAAATATTTTTTGCTTGCTTATATACTCACTACGTCAGCCTAAAAAAATCATATAAATAGATCACGATTTCCGGAAGATACATTCATTTGAATACGAACTGTCAAAGAGATAACATCAACATGGAGAAAAACGAAATTAGAGTTGTCATCAAGTACCTCTGTTTGAAAACAATGTCTTCAAAAGACATACACAGTGACTTAGTGGAAACATTGGGGGACTCTGCTCCTCCATATTCTACAGTTGCACGCTGGGCTAAGGAGTTTAAACTGGGCAGAACATCCACTAAAGATGAACATCGCGAAGGACGCCCATCCACGTCCCTCACTGAAGACAACGTGAAAAAAGTCGAAGATGTTGTGTTGGCAGATCGAAGAGTGACCATCAGGCATGTAGCTGAGGTCACAGGGATCTCATATGGCAGCGTTCAAAGAATCCTTGCGAACGAGTTGCATATGAAAAAGGTCTCTGCGCGTTGGGTACCCAGAATGTTAACCGACGAGCAAAAGAAAAACGAGTTGACATTTCGAGGGTCAATCTCGAAAAGTTCCAAGCAGATCAAGAAAATTTTTTGTTCCGTTTTGTGACTATGGACGAGACCTGGATCCACCATTTTGATCCTAAAACGAAACAACAATCGATGACTTGGAAGCGAGCCTCTTCACCGACGCCAAAGAAATTCAAAGTTTCAAGTTCGGCGGGAAAGGTTATAGCATCTGTTTTTTGGGACGCTCAAGGCATAATTATGGTGGAATATTTGGAAAAGGGAGCCACTATTACGGGCTCTTACTACGCAGACCAAATAAGAAGATTACGGGAGGCCATTAAGGAAAAAAGACGCGGCAAACTACGAGCTGGAGTGCTGTTTCACCAAGACAACGCACCGGCTCAACAAGCCGCAGTTGCGATGGCTGCCATTCAAGAAACGGGATTCGAACTGCTCGAACACCCTCCCTATTCGCCAGATCTAGCTCCTAGTGATTTTACCTCTTTCCTCGGCTCAAGGAACGCCTCCGAGGCAAGAAATTCGAAGACGATAGCGAAGTAATGGCCGCCGTTGAAGCGTTTTGGGAGGGTCAAGACAAAGATTTTTTTCAAAGGGAATCCTAGGTCTAGAAAAAAGATGGACTAAATGTATTGATTTGTTAGGAGACTATGTAGAAAAACAAATTATTATTTTAACTTTAATTACCGTGTTTTATTTTTATTATCATTACTTTTGGATCACCCCTCGTATATTTTGAAAGATAACATTTAGTTCAGTGTCGAAATGTATAGTTCCTTTGTATTGACATCGACGCTGCTAGTTGTGACTGCGGTGGCTTTGTTTGTTGTGGTGTTGTTGCTATCTAAACTCGTTTTGCGACTACTGTTTCCTGATCTGAGGCTGGGACGTTTCCGTGGTTTGTGGGGGTCTGGATTATTTATACTACTCTTTACGATTTATATACAGTTTGTTATTTTTTATTATAGCATGGTTACCATTTTGTCTAGCTATTTTCAGATTTTTCAGGAATTCGTAGAAATTTTACAATGCTTTTTTATCCATGAACATCCCAACAGCCAGTCCTGAGTTCTGAAAGACGCTAGAGTTTTCTATCACGTATCTTGTTATTTTCTTATTTGTCAATTCTATAGCTAAGCGTCTATGGCCTCCACGTTTTCCAATACGCTTTATCTCTTTTATGTATTGATCAATGTATCAAGATCAACTACATTCATTTATAATTAAAAATATTAGATTTTAAACTAGAACAGAAGAAACAAAAAGATTTTAAAAATGTCCTGACACTGCACTGCACCTGGCGACGTGTGCTATCAGTTTGTCATTTTGGTTTTAATAGTGCTTGGAATGTAAACATGCTAATCAATCAACACATATTAGTAACAATGTCCTGACACTGCACCAGGCGGCCAATACTACTTTTAATAGACTGCTTAAAGCCGCGTATGGCTTAAGCGCTCTTGGCGCCCCCCCCCCCCCCTCCTAGACCATCAGCTGGCAACGCCCTTGCTTAACCTTCCTCGCTTCTTCGGTTCATATTGACCCGAAACTGAAATTTAACTGTCAGTAAAAGTCGTAATTATTAATATAATTTACTAAGACTTTATGCATAATTAATATACAATTATTAATTATGCATTCACTATATATTATTATTGTAAAATTATGGTGACGTCTCTTATCTTAAGAAAATTAAGTTTTTTCCGTCTTAGGTTCCTCGGGTCAATAATACCCGAGTATGAAAAAGGTCCTCGGGTCGGAAAAGCCCGTGTTTTGCAAACAATAATGCTTTGTTGCATTCTAAGAATACACTGATAATTTATAAATGTTATATCTTCATTACTTAGCGTGTTATTGTTGAAGGTACTTTGAGAATAATTGTTTATTTACATTAGTATGCCGGTAGATTACATTATTTACGTGTGACAGTTACTTTTATTTGATTCATTCGTGTTTTGGACTTGATTGATGTGTTTCGTTGGTGTTTCGCGTTTGAAATGGCTCACAATTTGACTGATTTTGCGATTTCGCAAATCGTAAACTACGATATAAATTCCGAAGATGAAATAATTAATGAAAATCCTACCGACAATATTCAACCTAGTTTATACAGTGAAAGCAGTAGTGACGAAACAAATAGCGACGAGGAGCCTCTTTCAAGATACGTTACCAATACTAGTGCTAATGAAAGCCAAATGCTATCAAAAAATGGTGAATTTGTATGGTCAAGAACCCCATTAGAAGTCAGAGGTCGTTTGAGTAGTGCAAACCTAATAAAACTTACACCAGGCATTACCAGGTATGCTTCTAATCGCATAAATACATTTAGAAGTTCTTTTGATTTATTTCTAAATAAG